CTCGTTCTTGCTGATATTCATTAGTTTCTCGATGTATATCACTTGCATTAATATCAGAGTGAAATCTAGATCGTTTTCTTTGATAATTTTACTGGCAAAAATAAACTACGAAACAATAGGTCATGAACAAAAAAAACCATCTCACCTATGTACAAGTATAAGTTTCGCTGGATTATTAAACGATAAATGAACAACGATAAGAAAATGATTGATGATAAAATAGAGAAAAAAACCACATTGATATTTATCAAGTATACATTATCTAAATTCAATGAGTAGACAAAGTAACTATATATCTATTGGTAATGATTATAACTGTAATATATTGAATTAAGTGTATGAATGAGACTAATTTAAATGTTAGTTTTTATTTCATTCTGATCTTTGATTTGTTTCTAATATCTTAAAAAGCAACAATACGATATAGATTGATTATCTCTAATGAAATAAATTTAATTTCCAAATTGCTGAGAATAAATAAAATATATCTGATTACATTTAAAATTAAACAGATAGTTTTGTTTTTTTAGATACAATTATTCTGTTAATATTTCTCTTACTTTCCTATTTTGATTAGATATTATACATCAGTGTAATAAATTAAAATCGATATTATTCATTTAAAATGTTGAAATATATACTTAATGATCAAAACTTTGTTAGTTATATTTGTCCATATTTATGGTTTATTGGTGCAGTTTTTGTATTGCTTTTTGAAATTATTTTTGATTTTAAAGCTTCTTATGGACGTTACAATACGAATAATAGTGGGGTTCCAGTTCGTCTAGCATGGTTTATTCAAGAACTTCCAAGTTTTACCATACCATGTTATCTTTTATATTATCATTGGTCATCTGTATCGATAACTAAATTTATAATAGTCAGTTATTTTTTAATACATTATTTTCAAAGGTACGTTTTAATATGAAATTAATTATAGTAATTAAATGCATAAACCTATATTAGTGAGATGACGTGTCTTTTTTTTTGTGTTTTGAACGTCATATTTGAATACATAACAATGCCCAAAATCGAGAGAACGAAAAAGAAAAAACTCAAAAGAAATCGAGAGAAAATATAATACGAAAGACATAGATAGGAGAACAGAAAAGAATGGTTACACACTAGAAATAAATACCAGAAAAAGTACAATTGTTTAAATGTTTATGTGATCGAAGCGTATCGATCGAAAGAAAAGAATAGCTTGTTCATGCACACGTCGGCAGTTTAACATAATGCGCAAACAATAGTATGACATAATTCATTGATAAAGAAAAATATGAAGAGAATCATGCTTCTATTTTTACATTCTTTTTATTTATATAATGAAGGGTCTTCATATATCCTATGTTAATTCGTGGCGGAAAACATAGTTCATATTTAACAATAATATTAGCAATCATTTTTTGTTTTTTGAATTCTTATGCAATTGCTGAAGAAATTTTGGCATATCATATTTATCCAAATGATTATTTATTTTCATTACGTTTTATATCTGGTACGATTATTTTCTTTACTGGTTTTATTCTTAATCTTCAATCGGATTCAATTTTAAGAAATTTACGTAAAGATAATAATCAACGTGATTATAAAATTCCAAGAGGTAATAGAGACGAAAAAAGAAAGTTTTGTTTTTTTTTAGATACGAATTTAATATTTACTTATTTTTTTAAAAGGCGGTCTGTTTGAATATGTTTCTGGCGCGAATTTTTTAGCTGAATCTATTGAATGGACAGGTTATGCTATTTGTGCATGGACATTACCTACACTTGCATTTTCAGTTTTTACATGGGCTAATATTGCATTCGGTCGTGCTATTCATCATCATCAGTATGTGTAAAAATAAAAATTGATATTCTATGTAAATATTAAATTATATTTAGATTTTATCTTGAAAAATTCAAAGATGAATATCCAAAAAATCGAAAAGCTATTATTCCATTTATTTTATAATTGACAATATTTCATTTTATTTTTTTCTACTTTAATAAAGCAATTTTTTTTTTACTTGACATAAATAATTAAGCTGAATATTTTTATTAATTATATATTCTAGATGCCTCCTGGTCGAAAAAGTATTAGTACAAGTAGTAAATCTTCATCATCAACAACTGGACAACATTCTTCATCACCATTTCTATTTGGTAAATAAATAAAAGATATATCCTAATATTATGTAATATTTCATTTAAATCTATTAGAATGTGGTAGTGTTGTATGGTGTAAATATAAAAAATACCCATATTGGCCTGGTATAATATGGGAGAAAACACATAAACCAACTCGAACTCTGTATGAAATACTTTTCTTTGGAACATTTAGTCTTGGCTTGTAAATAAAAGATTTTTCATAAATTATGTAAAAAACAAAAATTTTGGCTTTTTTTAATGTAGAGGTATTGATCGTAAATGGTTGGAACCATATGAAGGTGTTGCTGAATTTAAAAAACGTATTGCAGAATTAAAAGCTTCTGAAGTATGATATTCTATTATTATTTTTTGTGAAACTCATATAGATTTTCGAAGACAATAGTTAAGGTAAATTTAAAGTCGAAGTATTGTGGTTGCTCTCCCTTCTGTTGGGAATTTCTATGAAAAAATTCTTTTTCATAGAAATATTAATATGTTCTTAGTTTTTTTCTTGAAGTATTTCTGACGAGGAGACGTATACAAGTGCCAGACACTGTTTGACTTTGCATAAAAGCTACAAGTAAATTTCGGTGAGCTTAAGAAAACCATAGAACGATTTGAACCCATAGCTTACTATTGAAGAAATATGACTATTGTCATGAATTTTTCAGTGACGGCATGATGAACCGCTGTGTTGTTAGATATTGAATATCTCGAGTAAGACATGCTAGTTTTCGTTCAAAATGTTCAGCACAATAGAGTAGCTATCAAACGCACCTACAGAAATAAACTCTTCAATTAGAGGTCATTGGCATAAATCGTTTTAAGCTTTTCTTAGTTCTATAGAGACTTACATATAGCCTTAATGCTAAGTCAATCAGCACCCCACAGCTGTACATGCTCTCTTGTAAGACAAAAGAACGTGGAAAAACTTTAAAAATAAAGTATCTTTTTAAGAGACTCTACATCTTGATCCAGATGCATCTTTGTACTAACTGAATAGAAGTGTCAAACAAAAAAAGCATTCTTTCAAAGTTTCATTAAGTTTGAAACTATGCTGAAGCATGCGCACTGACTACACTGAACACGTCTTTTTATAAAAATCTTTAGTTAAGAAAGTAAGCATACTTTTCCAATAGGAAAATTGTGAGAACACGAGTCTCTAATATAGAAGGATAGACCAAGAGCTCTCTATGATGTATTTCATAGATCTTTCTACTTTCTTTGGAAAGAAGATACTTCTCTCTCGGATGACTAAAACTTAGCCATTTTTTGGGCCTGAGATCTTCCCAAACGTTGAAAGATCCTAGAATAACTTTTTTTGAAAATCAAAAAGTAAGCCATTAGCCAAAGTTCATCGGATATTATTCTAGTCAGAAAAAATATTACATTCATTTTTTTTTCATCCAATGTCCACGTTGTTGTACACTATGACCTTGATTACAAACTTTGACCATCACAGTTGAAACTTATCGAAAAAATTTTCATAGCAACCGTAGATGTCAAATCAATCATTTTAATACTGCTGTCACTCGTATGACACAGAGAAGCAAGCAAAGTATGGAGCGTAGAATGAAGGTACTAATATTTGCATTAATAATAGTGAGGCTAATTGTAATGTAAGAAAATATATGTGAGTTTCACACCGCAAGCTTCAATGGGGCTGCGTTAATGATTGTTTTCTTTCTATTGCAATATCGATTTATATTAATAGGTAATTATTAAAAATAAACCAAGTCAATATGATATGAATATAACAATAGCAAATTTAGAATCATTTCAAGAAGCAGTAAAACAAGCATCAAAAATACTTAAATGTTCCAATCCTTCCGAAAGACTTGAATTAGCTGATAATATGCGTAAAGGTGTAACATGTGACTTTTTTCAACTTGATTTTGATGATGATAATGATGCTGATGATGAAGGAGATCATGATGAAATAAATTCAAATAGTGTCGAAGGTAATAGTAGATTATTTTGGTTTTTTTTTTTCGTTTGTTTTACGTTTGATTATTAAAATCTGAGAATTATTTAGATTCAATGCTATCAATGCCAACGTTACAAAATGATCAGCAATTTATTCAAACAATGATGAGTCAAGGAAAAAGAAAGCGAAAATTAGAAGATGAAACAAATTTACCAAATACAAAAATACGTCGAATTACTGTTAAAAATGAACCTGAACAGGTAATTTATTTAAATACGAATAAAAGAAAAAAATTCGTTTATTTTTTATTTTCTTTTGTTTTTGTAAGCCATTAAACAATCCCCTACCGTCTATTTTATTTCGACATGCAACCGATCAACCAATTGTAATGTGTTCAAATTTTGTATGTCATAGTTTATCACCAACTGAAGAAACATTTATATTAGATGCAATAGCACGTTCTGGTCCTGATTGTACATTTTTTCAAGCTAAACAAATAGCTGAAGAAACATATTCAAATATAATTTGTGTTAATAATTCTAATCGTTCTTTGCCCGTTAGTGAAGTATGGTTCTATTTATTTTTCTATTTACATTTTGAACAATTATTTTCAACACATCCCCATTGGCTTGATAATCTTGAAAAAGCAAAAACAAATATTAATTATTTATATGAACAGCAACAGCAAATGATTCGTCTTATGAAAACTTATCTTCATTAAATATATCTGTTTTCTTTTTGTTGTTGTCTTTCTTGTGTATATATATATATATAAATATGCGTTGTATATTAGAAACTATTTTGTATGATCTGGACGATTAAAGAAAAGTGCTAATAGGTCAATACATTGAATAAAATATTATAGATGTGCATTGCCTTTTCTTTGTGTTTTTTCTGTTTTCTTTTTTGGTTCTATATCTATATCTATATATTTTCGATTTAAGATGGCAAATAATAATAATATAGAAGAACTACGGTGGAAATTATTAGATAAAGAACGATTTCAATCATTTTTTGATTCTGATGGTCGACTTGTGAAAGAACATGAATTTAGAAAAGCAGTTTTCAAAGGTGAGAGGTAGGTCAGTGTTGTAGAAATGTTCACGAATAATATTTTACAGTTACTTATAAATGACCTTAAAAGTAGTGTTTCATCGAGTGTTTCTTTTTCGTCGAAATGATTTGAAAACCTGGGAGAAGTAACACGATCTTCGAAAGAGTATTGCTCTCTCCGTCGCCACGCTTGATAAAATACTTTAAGAAATCTTCATCTTGTTATTCCAAACTACGTAATGCAGTGGACGGTTTCTATCGAACCTGTGGACAGATCTTGTTTTCTATCAAAAACAATGTTTTTTTTATAGACAAGACAGTTTTCGATAGAAAATCTTTGAGAAGCATTCTTAACCTTAACTTCTACCAAAGAACTCTTTATTTTAAAAATTTGGTAACTGATATGAAACTTGATGCAGTTTTCCCCACTGATTTCAAATATGCCTTTATTTATCTTTTACAGTGTTTCTGTGATAAAGAAAATGCAAAATATCTTTAAAAGCCAAGGTTTTTAGAAAATCTGTATCTCAGGCTAGAAGCATTTGCACATCTTTGTGTTAACTAAGTGTATATACTTGATATATAAGAATAATATCTGACAGTTTCGTCTATATCAAATTAATGGAAAAAAATGACAGCCAACTTTCTGAAGATATCTATTCGGAAAACGCCTAGTATAAAAAGAATTATTTTTTCAGAACAGAAGTTTTTCTTATCAACCAATAGAGCATAAATCCTAGCTTTAGACTATATATAATTGATCGTGCAACTCTTTTTATTTCTCATAAAAGACTGATGTTTTTTTTCTTAAGGTGCTGAAATTTGATCTTGTTTTGCGACGAAGGGAAGTTTGTCCAATGAATTAAGTAGTCGAGACCACATCCTTTTTTACCAAAAAAAATGGTCAGTAATCAAAATGTATAAAATACTATTGCAATCTCGAAAAAACTCACTTTCAGTTTTTGTCTAATACCAACATTATTGCTTATTATGCATGAGGATCATTACATATAATCAAAGGTCTAATGTTTGCAATTTTTAATGGATATGTTGTTAAATATTGAATAGTGTAATGTTAGTGATCATCAAATCAAATCGTTTCTTGGTCTTACACTTGTCAAAGATACTCCTTTGAGTATTGGTAAATGACATTCACAAATAGATGCTCTAGCTCTGTTTTCAACATCGAAAAGTTCTTTGAAGGATTCTCCACACACAACCAATATTGGTTAGAAAATAAGTCAGTCAGCAACAGAACAATCTTTTTTCCTCAATTGGGCAGATGAGTTTTATTCGATAGTGAGTTCGAATTCTATTAGATCTATAAAAAAAAAATGACTTCGTTTATAACTAAAAGTTAAATTTTCAATTATCGTGTAATTGCCTAGGTCAAACTAATTTTTTTTCCTTTTTAAATGAATAATCTCTAAAAGCTAATTTCTGATTGTTTAGGTGGTATAAATAATGATCTTCGACAACAAGCATGGAAATATCTATTTGGTTTCTATCCACCCCTTCTCTCAAAGATGTAAGATGACTATATTCTATGTTTATTGATTACTTTTTTTATCATATATTAGAGAACAAGAAACAATTGATGTTGAACGTAAATTACGATATGATTTTATGTGTGAAAGATGTCAACAAGAAATGTCAGAAGAACGTAAATAATATTTGTATTTTTGTGTAAGTTTTTTTTTTCTATTTTACGTGAACTTTAGTTCGTTCACAACTACCACATTTATCATCAAACAAATCAAAAGAACCACTTAGTCCAAATCAAATTTTCTTTTCTATTCAACAACGTATTGAAGCCTATAAACCGAAATTTGATTGGTCTGATATGGACTATCATGTACGACTTATTGCTAAAGATTTACATCGAACTGATTTTATATCATCAGAAAAAAAACCAGATAATTATAATTATGGACCACTTACACGTTTACTCGTAACATTTGCATGTTATAATCCAACAATTGGTTATTCACAAGGTATTCATACCAATCGAAATAAAATATTTCCGATATTATTTATATATCATAGGAATGAATGATATGGCTTATAGTTTTCTTCATGTATTTACTTATAATGAACATGAAGCTTATTTTTGTTTTGCTTATTATATAATTCAAGCAGGTGAACATTTTACAAAAACAGGTATAGCTTTAAAAATACAGCAATTACCAAAACTTGTTGAAATTGTTGATCAATTATTATATGATCAAATAGTATCACTTAATGTTGAATTATGGACATTTTGTCATCGTATGTTCTATTGATTTTTCTTTTACAATTAAATAATATTTTATGTTTATTTAATATAGGATGGCTATTTTTATGTTTTCGTCGTGAATTTTCTGAAGAAGAAGATACATTAATATGTTTTGAAGTTGTATGTAGTCATTTTCTTGAAGAAAATTCTTTAGCTGCTGAACGTTTATTATATGATATACAATTAAAACGAGCTGAACAAATAGGTACTAGTAGTTATTCATCAATATCAACAGAAATAAATTCTAAACAGCATAAAGAAGATGCATATTCATTTGATTTATTTGTTTGTATTGCAATGATATCATTACTCCGTTCATGTTTATTTGATGCTCGTGATGAACTTGAAGCACTTGAAGCAATTCAACAACGTCAAAAAACACTTGATGTGCGACAAGTTTTATCATTAGCTGAACAACTTTTCAAAATATATTATCAACAAATAGCGACAATGTCATCTCCATCATCGATTGAATCAACATCACTTGAAATTATTGATTAGTCATATATACTGAAACATAGTTTCTATTTTATTTGTTTATTTATTTATTTATTGTTTTTTTTATGACCGTGTCGATTTCCATTGTTTTGTCAGAATAAAAATATATTTATATGTTATAATTGAACTATTCTGCGTATATATACATATATGAATATACTCAACCCTGATAGGTCTGTTGGATGTGAGATGAAAGCTTTGCAATAATTTCTACATTGTATGTAAGGTGTCGGAAATGCAAAATAAAAGCAGAAGATGTTTTTTTCTGTATATAGTTAGACAAAGGGTGACGAACTGATCAAGAATAACAATGTTTTCAGTTTTTTTTCTAATGATCTAGTTTTTCTGAAAACAATGTTCATTTTCGATTACCGACAAATTTTTAATTTCTTCATATTCTATTATTTGCAAAACTGTTGTTTTTCTTTAAATTTAGTGTTAAGAACTCAGTCCAGGAAACTTATTCATAAATAAGTTTCTTAGCTTTGGTTTTTCTGGTAAATCTAAAAACAACGGATTAGAATATTGAAGGCAATGAAAAAATTGAAAATTTGTCGATTATCGACAATGAACATATTTGTTTTTCAGAAAAAAATAAGTTGTTTGAAAAAAATGAAAGCGCGTTTACTCTTATTACCGTTTAGCAATATGAGAATGTTTATGTTTTTTTTTTTATAACAAAAGATCTGCCATTTTGTACTCTATTAGAATTGCAAAAAAGAAAAAATGCGTCACTAAACGAAATTTGAAAAACTCTGAAATTCATGAGTTTGCAATCTGGATGATGAATGTTATCATTTTCGACAATACACAAAATGAGAACAACTGAATTTGACAGTACAATAACAACAAAAAATATTTATCAAGTTATTGATATTTGATCAATAATGTCGGAGCAGGTTTCTTACCCGCTTTCGTTCTATTATTAATTACATGTTTCGGTAAATATTTTTTTGTTTTTGTCCCAAATAAATTTTAACTCATGTGTTTTTCCGACGAATTCAATCCGATAATGTACTCAAAGTGTGTGATTGAGCCATCTTTTTTTTGAACTGCATTATTAAAAAGCCTTTGTCTTAGGGTGTTGCGACATGACGAGCACACACAACATATCATACACTTTTAGAACTTTAACTTGAAATACGTAATAATCTTTCTATTTTAGAAGATTAGCTATACATCTAATTTATATTTAATGTTCCTCCCATTACCATGCGAACTCTTATTGATATAGTGTACTTTAAAATATTCAAATTGTCTCAGATTTCCTTGAATGAGAAATAGTGCGACGAAAAATCATGTTCATCTCTAGTGACCGATTCAAATTTCAAAAGAAGTTATAAATATTTGATTTCGCGATTCGGATCGAGTATAAAACTACGCATGTTTTAAAAGAAAAAAAAACAATTTACTATCATACGCTTGACCAAAGATGTATGCAAAGCAAAACACATCACAAAACTTTTGCCCTATCCAGTATGATGTTAATCACACATCTTATCTATCTTTACTTAACGAAGAGAAATAGATAAGATAAATCTATGTCCTTAGTAATAAGCACATTGAAAACTTTCGTTGATCGTAAAAGTAGTTAAATTTATTTCAAGAAAATCTTTATTATTGCAATTAAATGCATTATAAATCTGTTAATTATTTCTTTTGTGTTACTATAAAATAGAGAATAAAGCGTTTAACAAATATCAACTGTTGTTTGATTCGGAATATTTGACGTGATTTCAGCAACTAAAACTTCATTATGACGATTGAAAAGTTTGGTTGGCATGTCATATGTTGCTGAAATAACTTCTTCACGATTAATTGGAAATGTTTTACATAATTCTAATATATTACTACTTTCTCTTTTCCAATCATTTTCTTTAGCAAAACCACCGAAACGTTTCGCATAAAAAATTTGCTCCAATTGATGATAGATAAAAACACCATTAGCGGTTGGTAATGGTGGTGGATTTATATTATTATCTTTATCAAGTAATAACATTATTGTAAATTGATTTTCTCCGTCAGTTATTAAAGATGGGCGAACTTTAACCATGATCGGCAGACAAATTTTTAAGATTTTACCTAGAAAAAAAACTCTTTTTATTTTTGAAATTAATATCAAAATACAATATTTTACCATCGACATTTTCACCTTGTGTGTACTTAACAAGCTTCCATAAATTAGACATAACAGGTTCATCGCCAGCTTTAGCAGAAAATGCATATGCTACACATGTAAACGAATAATAGTGCCGTTTTTCATAGAACTAGTCAATTGAAAACAACGAGATAAAATAGTTTTATGAATATAGACACTACCTTATTACTTTCGAGAAGATCATATTTTGGCCATTCGGGATCAGCAAGTACGTTTGAATATGCAGACGCAACTGTACGTAACCAGCTCATTTTTTGTTTATATCACTTTTCTATTTTATTTTTTGTCTGTACTTGTTTTATATAATAGAGTAAAAATAACAGCATATAATCAAAGATAAGAATTATTTTTTGTTATGTTGTCACGATAAATCATGGAACAAAATTTTATTTCAACCATCAGTAACAGACACTTGGAAGTGATCTATTCACACTAATGGCTGTTGCGAAAAAAAACAATGAAGAAATGTCGCGAGAACATAGAATAGAGCAGCAAAAGGAGTATGATTCTTGCTTTTTTTTAAATTACAGGTGCTTATATAGTACAAGATAGAATGGCAAAAAATCTTCTGGTGTCTTCAACCCATTGACAATAAAACACGAAAAAGGACAAAGAGCAAACAAGAAAGAGAGAGAGAGAGAGAGAGAGAGAGAGAGGAAGGAAGATAGTCTGTACACACCTACACACAAAATTTTGTGTCTGATAAAAGCTTCTTTTGTGCTCGTTTAAATTTTCAGTAATGATGATAATGAAAGTGAGAACAATCTGGTTTTCTTTTTCAAAAATGTTTCTAGAAAAAAAAAAGGAAAGAAGAAAAAACACGAACACAAAATAACCTGTAATAAAGAAATGTTGCTAATACATGTATGTGTTTAGAAACAATAATAAAAAGAAAGAAATAAACAAATCGACAATCTTCTACATATACATTTATAATCTTTTTTCTTTTTTATCGCAAATATTTGTTCAAGTCAATAAAGGCACAATCAGGTATGTTATTTTTGTGCATTAGCTTGTCACATTCATGTAAATAACCAACAAGCACTTCAAGAGCAGGATGTCTTGGCATATCATGTGCTTCTGTAAAGTGCATAGATAACGTTAATATATATATATATTTATCTAATATATAAAAAGAATGTTTTGATTTACATACCAAGTATAGCACTGTTAACTGCACTCGAAACAGTTTCACGTTGAGATGGTTCTAATAGATGAGCAAGTGGTGATGATTTTGGATCTGAATAAGCTAATAAACTGAATGCATCCTAATAAAATAAAAAAATTTTTAAATGAAATCTTTTATTAATCATTCGTACACAAGTGAGAAATAAAGTATCTCAATTCATTCTCATTAGATTAAGATAGACTAGATGTTATATGACCTATGGCGCGAAAGTTTCGGTACGAAAGATTTGTTCATATTTCGACCAATAAAAGACTGTTGACTAGAGCTAGAATTAGAATTTCTTGCTATGTCTGAATACGGATTATAGCTATTTTGGTACAGTCATTAGTCTATGTAGTTTGTGTCTTGGAATAGCTTCAATTTCTTATTAATGAATTCTGCATAAAATGAGATATTAAAAATAAACGAAATCTTATCTATAAACAGTGGCATCGATGAAAAAAATCTCTACTTTAAAAAATTTCTTAAATCTGTCATATAAGATAGAGTAGAAAAGTAAATAACAAATTAAAAATTATTTCACTTTCAATCGAAATACAAAGCTAACAGAAATAGTATTCTGTGTAATCCTTATTTTGAATCTTTTGAAACAATATGATGATAGTTGGTCGAGTTTTTTAATCTGAGCAGACTGGACAGGTTCCACGTATGATCCAATCTTTATCAAGAAGGAAATTTTGAATTCATATTTGGAAAGAGCAACAACATTTGCTTCTGTCTCTAACCAGCGCTCTTTATATGGTTGAATAATGAATATTTTCTATTAAGACTTTCGTGTTATAGGTTAGAAATAAAGATGAGACATGTTTAATTAATTTATATTTCGAATATTTGTTCTGTATATGTATTCTATGTCTTTTGTTTTAATAGACTGAAATAAAAGTTACTTATTATCTTATGACTACAAATTATACGCTTAGTAATCTCAGATGTCAAATGAGACATAAATGATATTTTAAAAAAATAAGAAAGATTATGTTCGACAATATTCTTTCAATAGAACTAAGATTCTTTTGTTATTTCTTTTTTTCTACAAAATTTACTTGAAGCATTTTATCATTCTGTTGATTTTCTCCGTGTTCAGTAGTTAATTGTTGTTTAAGTGCATGTAATTCTCGGCCAAATTGAAGAATTCTAACAAGAAGTTGATCATCTTCTTTTATTGTTGATTTTTTCTGTACATCAGATGATATTGTTGTTTCCATATCCATAGTATGAGTTGAATCAGTATAACCATCATATTCCATACCATCAAGAATATCAGTTGATTTTGTTGGACATCCATTACTATTCATATTATGATCGACGACTAGACTAGTATTATCATCGTCTAATAGTGAATGGCCATTAGAGATTTGATTTGTCGAAGAAGAAGAAAAAGAAGAATGAGGATGAGATACTGTTCCGTGATTGCTAAAACCATTTGCTGTATTATTATCATTTTGATCATCATCAATATCCATAAGATTAACAACAACATTAGTATTCGTATTTGATGGTATAGAATTCACTGTTGTTGTATGACTATTTGATTCTGACAATTGACATGGAATTTGTGATAAATTTGATTCATTATTAGTTTCTATAAAGAAAAAGAGAAATTTAATTTCATAAGAAATAATAAAATAAATTTACCTTGTGATAACTCGTTAGGAT